TAATATTCCATTCCTTCTTTTTAATAAAATGATCTAGGAAGAACACTTATGAAAAGTAGAGAATAAGTTACTGTCGAAAAAGATAAAGAGCATGAATATTTTTTGCCTTGGTAATTGAGAGCAAGCATTGAAAATGCTAAGACTTTTGAAAATAAATGCTAGCATTAGTATTTAAATTGGATATATTTTGAAATAGTTTCTGATGAGTAAGTCAAGATTTCGCTACAATTCATACAACCTTTTTATGATTAGCAAAGACTTCAAATTAATAACAAACTTGATGTAATGATTGAAATCTTGGAAAATTTAAGAGTTTTTCTTTTCAAAAAAGAATAATTAGATCCTCTTGATGAGTCTAAGGTAAGATGGATTCCTATTAGAAGAGTGAATGAACACACATTCAATAAAAGGAATATATATTCAGATTTCATTAGTCCTTGTTTCTCAAGGTACCTTGTTTTCAATTATAAAGATGAACAATTTTAAATTTATGATCTAATTACTGGATAATTCTAATATAAGATTCCCAAGGAAATTATGTCTAAATAAAAAGATAAATCTATAGATTTTGCAGTAAGTACTTTCAAATGGATTAATTCAACTGAATTCTAAATCATAGATGAAGAAGGATTAGAAATAATTTATAAAGTTGATAATAATTTTGAGATTATTGGTTATACCTAGAGACCTCTCTATAAGGAACTGCACGTTGAAAAAGAATTTGAAAATTACTATTACTATTAGGTTAAAAAAGAAACACCTAAACTTTAATAACTACAAAGAATATATTCAAATTATCATTCTGAATACTATATTCACGAAAATATTGAGGATAGAAACTTAATAATGAGGATGCACCAAATTGAAAAGGGGGCATATAGTCATTTAATATCTAGTTTTAGTTTTCTGCATTGGTCAATAATGGAGTAACTTAAAAGCGGCTAGATCACTATAGATATGTTAGAACTATAAATGATTGAATAGCTCATATATATTATAGTACCTGGAGGAAGAACTGTATTACATTACCTTTGTGACTAGAAAGAACAACTAATCAAGCTATTTGAAATTTGCCATCCTGATGGAAAAATTTTCTATTATCTACCAATCATTTAAGATTTTTAAGGAAATACAGTTTTTCATCTTTTGGCAGAGAGATAAGATTTTAGTACTATAGATAGACTTCTACCTTATCTTTCTCTATACTCATTTGGGCATCATTCAAGAGCAATTAAAAATCTATATCCACTATTTATTTAGTAATAACTACCTTCTTTTATTCCATTTCTGGAGTCAGCTACATTCGAAACTCTACAATCAAAAGAAATTAAATCGGGATAATTAAAAGATGACTACCCTGATATTATATCCTGTGATGTCAAATTCATAAAATCATCTCTAAATGAGGAATTATTTGAATAGACTCAAAAGGTAGGCACCAATATAAAGCTCTAATTCTTAGATATTCCTAGTCTGTATCAATTTTTGGACAAAGACTTTATTTAATTTTTCAAAGAACTAGCAAGTACTCGTCTTTTTAATTACTTTAATTGCAAGCCTATCCAAAAGATCATTGAATTTAATTATCCAATAGTCCAAATGTATATTGTCTATTGGATAATATTACCATTCATAATATTCCACTTGATTTTTGTTTTTTATATGAATCTACTTTATGAACACAGAAAGGAAGATGATAAAAAAACTTTAAATATGGTCATGATAATAATCTAACTTGTTTTTTCAGGGTACTTTTTGTTAATGGAACTAAAACAATTTACTCTTTAAAAAATAATGTACATTGCCTAAATGTGGAATTACATAGATTTAATTGCTCCCTTAGGTGTCGTTATTATTTAAATTATCTAATTTCTTGAGATAAATGAATATCAGATCAATGAAGATTTTAACAGATCAATTTTATCTATTTCAACTTTATTTATGTGGATAAAGCTCTTGTATGTTATGAGAATTTTTAAAAATACTGGATACCTGATCAGGATGCTAATAGAAGTAGTTAGTGATATGGGTATTTTCTTGCTTTTGTTGCTTATTACAATACTTGCTTTTGGAGACTCATTCCTTCGATTATCTAATGGCAATAGTGAGGATTCTTAATTCATAGAGCATTTCTTTTATGCGGGTCTCTATGTGTATAGAATGATCTTGGGAGATTGGGATACTGATGCTTTTGGAGAAATATCGCTGCCTTTGGTTTGGATTTTATTCGTAATGTGTACAATTTTTGATATGATTGTGATGCTTAACTTGCTCATCGCTATTATCTCAGACACCTATGCTACTGTAGCTGAAAATTCAGAATAAGCAGGATTTTAAGAAATGGCTAAGCTCATTGAAGAAAATGAATACCTTGTTCCATATCATATAAAAAAGAAGCAAGCCAAGAAGATGCAATACCTGCTATTAATTGATCCTGTGGAAAACATAGAAAAGAAAGATGATTCTGTTGTTATTTTAAAGGTTGAGTCAGTTTTAAAGCAAATTGAAAACAATAAAAAAGATTTGGATACTACAATAAAATAGATGAATAATAAGATTGACAACATTGTGACTCAAATCGTAAAGATCCAACAAGATCATTAAAAGGCTCTTACAAATGAAATTTAGCAGCTTAAAACAGAAATTTAGTTGAATAAAGAAAAAGAAATTGTTCAACCAGTTTAAGCACCTGCTATAGATGCTTAAGAACCTCCTAAATGAGAAAAAACTTAAAATTAGAACACCAAATTGAAAAGGGGTCATACTGTCATTTAATTTCTAGTTTTAGTTTTCTGCATTGGTCAATAATGGAGTAGCTTAAAAGCAGCTAGATAACTATAGAAATGTTAGAACTATAAATGATTGAATAGCTCATTTACATTATAGTACCTGGAGGAAGGACTGTATTACATTACCTTTGTGACTAAAAAGAGCAACTAATCAAGTTATTTGAAATTTGCCATCCTGATAGGAAAATTTTCTATTATCTACCAATCTTATAAGATTTTTAAGGAAATACAGTTTTTCATCTTTTGGCTGAGAGATAAGATTTTATTACTATTGATAGACTTCTACCTTATCTTTCTCTATACTCATTGGGTCATCATTCAAGAGCAATTAAAAATTTATATCCACTCTTTATTTAGTAATAGCTTCCTTCTTTTATTCCATTTCTGGAGTCATCAACATTTGAAACTCTATAATCAAAAGAAACTAAATCCGGATAATTAAAAGATGACTACCCTGATATTATATCCTGTGATATCAAATTCATAAAAACATCTCTAAATGAGGAATTATTTGAATAAAATTAAAAGGCAGATACTAATATAAAGCTCTAATTCTTAGACATTCCAAGTCTGTATCAATTTTTGGACGAAGACTTTAATCTATTTTTCAGAGAACTAGCAAATACTAGACTTTTTAATTACTTTAATTGCAAGCCTATCCAAAAGATCATTGAATTTAATTAGACTTTTTAATTACTTTAATTGCAAGCCTATCCAAAAGATCATTGAATTTAATTATCCAATAGTCCAAATGTATATTGTCTATTGGATAATATTGCCATTCATAATATTCCACTTGATTTTTGTTTTTTATATGAATCTACTTTATGAACACAGAAAGGAAGATGATAAAAAAACTTTAAATATGGTCATGATAATAATCTAACTTGTTTTTTCAGGGTACTTTTTGTTAATGGAACTAAAACAATTTACTCTTTAAAAAATAATGTACATTGCCTAAATGTGGAATTACATAGATTTAATTGCTCCCTTAGGTGTCGTTATTATTTAAATTATCTAATTTCTTGAGATAAATGATTATTAAATCAATGAAGATTTTAACAGATCAATTTTATCTATTTCAACTTTATTTATGTGGATAAAGCTCTTGTATGTTATGAGAATTTTTAAAAATACTGGCTACCTGATCAGGATGCTAATAGAAGTAGTTAGTGATATGGGTATTTTCTTGCTTTTGTTGCTTATTACAATACTTGCTTTTGGAGACTCATTCCTTCGATTATCTAATGGCAATAGTGAGGATTCTTAATTCATAGAGCATTTCTTTTATGCGGGTCTCTATGTGTATAGAATGATCTTGGGAGATTGGGATACTGATACTTTTGGCGAAATATCGCTGCCTTTGGTTTGGATTTTATTCGTAATGTGTACAATTTTTGAAATGATTGTGATGCTCAACTTGCTCATTGCTATTATCTCAGACACCTATGCTCATGTAGCTGAAAATTCAGAATAAGCAGGATTTTAAGAAATGGCTAAGCTCATTGAAGAAAATGAATTCCTTGTTCCATATCATATAAAAAAGCAGCAAGCCAAGAAGATGCAATACCTGCTATTAATTGATCCTGTGGAAAACATAGAAAAGAAAGATGATTCTGTTGTTATTTTAAAGGTTGAGTCAGTTTTAAAGCAAATTGAAAACAATAAAAAAGATTTGGATACTTCAATAAAATAGATGAATAATAAGATTGACAACATTGTGACTCAAATCGTAAAGATCCAACAAGATCATTAAAAGGCTCTTACAAATGAAATTTAGCAGCTTAAAGCAGAAATTTAGTTGAATAAAGAAAAAGAAGTTGTTCAACCAGTTTAAGCACCTGCTATAGATGCTTAAGAACCTCCTAAATGAGAAAAAACTTTTAATTATAAATTTCACAATAGTTGATTGTGATCTATTAAAATTATTATTTTTTATAATGAATTT